GAAACGTTGGTTAACATCGACCAGACTACACAGCACAACAACCCAGAAGACAGAAATCTTCAACTTTTGGTTTACTTTCACTGAGATCATTTATTGACTTTCTGAGATTTGTGTTTAAAGACATCTTAAGAACGACCCCACAAGACGAGGTTACTGAGAATTTAATATCGATTTAGAATTATTGTGCCCTGTACTGCCTTGCGATGGCTGAATGGCAGTTCAATTCACTTAAAGAGGTGGGTTCTGGTACTAAAAGTTCAGTTGAAATACATGTAGCGCCTGTGTCTTCTTATGTTATTATCACACACAACAGGATGTAGAACATTCCATTACTGTGTACACGTGTTCTATAAGTGGCCTAGATAAGTCATTTAACCTAATTCCATTATCTATTTACTGATTCGATGCAAATAATACAACCACTACCTCACTTGTTCTTTATTATTCCTACTGAAATAATTAATAGTTTCTACGTAGTTTACATGAAAGAGGATCTAACTTTATGCGGGTAATAACAAACACGCGGCATGACTTAATATTGCCTATATCAGTCACACCTTCAGGGTGATTAAGTCAAGAGGAATGAGAGGGGCAGGGCATGTAGCGCGCATGGATGGGGCAAGAGGTGTGCACCGGTTATTGGTCGGAAAGCCTGAGGGGAAGAGACATCTGGGGAGACCTAGACGTAGATGGGAGGATAATATATGGGAGATAGGAGTTGAAGGAGACTGGATTTTGTTGGCCCAGGACATGGACCGGTGGAGGGCTTTGGTTAATTCGGTGATGAACCTTCGGTTTCTGTAAGCCATCTGGTTGGTTGGGTCCACTATTTGGGAAGCCTGAGGGGAAGAGACCTCTGGAGAGACCTAGACGTAGATGGGAGGATAATCTCAGGCGGGATCTATGGGAGATAGGAGTTGAAGGAGACTGGATTTTGTTGGCCCAGGACAGGGTCCGGTCTAGGGCTTTGGTTAATTCGGTGATGAACCTTCGGGTTCGGTAAGAAATCTCGTTAGTTAGTTATGTAACTTTTAAAAAACGCTACGTACATAAACGTGTCTGGTCTAAATCGGTTGGTTCTTAGAATATGGAGTGTCAAAAAAGATATTGGGCCCAAAAAAGAATCAAAAGCTGTTCAAAATGTAACAAAATTAATTCCCAGTTACAAATTTTTATTAACTTTGTGTCGCGTCCTACACACGCGCATTGTACATGACTTTGGGCCACCCTATACCGTAAACGTTCATTCGATTGTTTGCACATCCTCCGGGATCCCCACGCAGTCGCTTAACAACGCGACAGTGTTTTTTTAAACACGTGGGCCGACAGGTGAGGTGGTGCTGGGGATCTAGAGGAGTTCGGCTCGTCCGTAATCACGGGATGTGACAGGCAGACTGAAATTCAATCTTGATGTTCTATCAGAATTTTACGAAGTTACAGAGAAGGAAAGGTTTTTGTAAGAATTTGTTCCAACAGGCACCTATTTCTCGTTCAAAGTGAGAAGCGATAACGATTTCATGTCTTCCGGGTTGTTGCGCCGTGTAGTCTGGTAGATGGTTATCAGATAAACCGCCCTGAAGACGGAGGCAGTATGACGTCTGAAACGTTGGTTAACATCGACCAGACTACACAGCGCAACAACCCAGAAGATAAAAATCTTCATACTCTGATGACGGAGGCAGTATGACGTCTGAAACGTTGGTTAACATCGACCAGACTACACAGCGCAACAACCCAGAAGATAAAAATCTTCATACTCTGATGACGGAGGCAGTATGACGTCTGAAACGTTGGTTAACATCGACCAGACTACACAGCGCAACAACCCAGAAGATAAAAATCTTCATACTCTGATGACGGAGGCAGTATGACGTCTGAAACGTTGGTTAACATCGACCAGACTACACAGCGCAACAACCCAGAAGATAAAAATCTTC